CTTGATTTGATAAATGCTTAGATTATGGTGATTTTCTCAAATCATTCGGATCATTTTCCTGCCGTTTTAAAGGGCCATGGAACGCTAAAAATTCGGAATTCACGAAAAATCGCGAAAATGTTTTTCCCAAATGTTATTTCCACGCTTTTATAATTGGTAGAAATCCCAAAAAATCTTTAGGAAGACCACAAATCGGTTTAAAGCCGCTTTTAGAGGACCATTGAAGGCAAGAGTTAAACGGCAGCAACCGTTGAACTTAACAAGTCTATCCTCTTTAAAACCTTTAGTATCCTGAATCCTATAAGTTTGCCATACTGCCAATTTTGTTAATAATATCAATTCAATAATTTTGGAGGATTTGGTTGTCGGCATCTTATCGAAATGGAATTTTCAGAATTTCTTTTCTCAACTGCGGTGATTTTTTCCGAGTTGATGCCTTCTTGAAAATGGCGTCCGAGTTGCAATTTAATTTTGCAATATACTGTAAGTTCTATTAAATCATAATAGCTTCGAAATTTTGCGTTGGTTTTGATGATATTACATTCTATTTCTTTAGTGAAAACCACGTCAACTAACGACAAAACGAATCTTGAAAAACACTATGAAAACATTGGTAAATTGTAAGGTATGCCTTTGATATTTTGTTTATTATTCAAACAAAAACAACTGATCTTTATAATTAAAAAATTTGCAAATTAAAAGTTTTATGTTTAGGAATGAGGACGTCTTCGGGAAAAGAATTCGCTCTCTCGATCACACCGAAAATAATTGGATGGAACGGATCGATTCGGAGCGTTTGTGGGTTGCTCCATTGCATTGAATAGAAGGATGACAGGAAAAATATTGTTGAAATTAATTTATTGTGAACTTGAAATGGACCACATTTTCATCCATTCTTTTCGAACCGAATCCATTTTAAAAATATATGATGATGATTTAACGCGATCATCGATACCATCTTTTTCTCACCTTTTCTTTGTAAAAACCAGCTGGTTGCCTAGGATAGCGGGTTTGGAGGTAGAATTCGATGCCAAATGGAAAAGCCTAGACCGAACTTTCAACAGGAATTATTGTTTTATCGATTTTTTTTTTGCACATCATGTTGTTCCAAAAGCCTGGCCGTCGAAATAATCGTCGGAGTGGACATTATCTTTTTTATTGATAATAGGCATATTTTGTCGAAAAAATACAGAGCCCGTCAAAGCATATCATTGGAAAGATCCAAGAAGGTGATAGCGGAGGACCTTATCAGATTACGTGGTTAAAAAACCGGATATTTACGTGACCAGGTGGATACCAATCAAGAGATCCCCCCAGAATTAAATCCAAAATTTTTATCCAGAAAACAGGTTCATCAGATGCTGCACAACAGTTTGCATCAAATAGAAAAAATTATAAGATCAGAAATACGCAGTACTAACCGCATTCAGATTCGTGCGATTGCTCAAAAAAGAAAGCCACAACTAGCAAATCCACTGCTACGCACTGTGCACGGACGAATATAAAGAATATAAATTTTTCTATGCGTATGAAAAGCCACGACGAACACGGGTAACACCGCATGGCGGAAAGCATATAAAGGCACAGCTATAAAAAGTAAAGTAAAATAGAAAAATCAAGAATTCAAGCAGCGGATCTTGGTTAGAACTTGGAGAAAAAGGAAAAGCATAACAGTATCTGCTATCGAAAATTCATCATCAAACGTTTGAGCCCGCTGAAGCCGTAAAATAAAGCTTCGAGGAAAATAGGAGAGGAAAACGTCCTGGAAAAAATGTCCATCAATGACACTGTTTTGTATCCGCGAAGGACCGATAAATCGATATTTAAAACCGAGAATTTCCGGTGCGCTTCCACCTAATGTTGCACACCTCGTGTAGGGTAAATAAAAGATTAACAAAATCGCACGTCATCTCTACTTCAAGGTCAATTTTTTTTTGAAGATGAAGTCAATCGATATAAAATGCCTTAAGACACATCACACAGAGACCAGCTAAAGGATTTCGATAGGAAGAGCACAGTTTGGTAGCTAATATCCGACTGCTGCCTATACCGATAGACCAAACGTATTTCCTTTATATACCAAAAGGATGTTTAAAAAATAAGAAACGTTGGATGTAGCTGTTTTCAAAAAAAAAACCAAGACCCCCATAAATCAGCCACGATCGCTAAGCACCAGCGACGCAGTATGCAAATTCGACGAGGAAAAAAATAGGCGTCGTTAAATCTTTAACATAAAACTACGTAAGCTATTCCTTTTCTTTCCTAATTTCTTTCAATCAATGTGTTTTTTTGTCTCTGAATTTCTGCAGATTCAACAAATCAAGATGACGGAAAGCAAGAGGCTACAAGTTGTTTCGCCCAGCTATCATAATTATGCCACCCAAAATCGCAATGCTGAAGTTCGCCATCGGATAAATCAACAACTTCCCCCTATCACTGAGGGAAGGTTCGTTCCGCTGATATTTGGAACTGGCGCCACGAGCTACACAAAAAAAGGAGAGAGGCGCGCGATTGCACGCCATCACATGCTCTACTTATCCGAAGAAGCCAACAAAAGATATATAATGCTAAAAATACAGCACCTCGCGTAAAAGCTAGGCAATGCCAGCTAAAGTTCAGTGACGCTGTTCGGTGATTCGACAAGAAAAAATGAAGCGAGCCAAAAATTTACAAGATATGAATTTAAACCTTGAAACCACAGGCAAAAAAAGTTAGTTTTCACAAACAAACAGATAAATTCGAAGATGTTCACCTTGGAAGTCGTGCAGAGATGCATCAAAATCACAAGATAAACCTTTTCTTATATAACTAAAGTTTTCGCACCGACCAGTGGGTATTAAACGACTTTTCCGGCGGTTCGATGTCTGCCAAACAATAAAAAAAGCAGGCTCGGAAAAACGGCGGATTGCTAAAAAGGATTATAGAAAAAAAAAATCGATATTTGAAATTTTTTGATAACGACAAGCTTTAATAAGACCGCAGAGCCAAAGTCGGAGCTCCATTGATGGCTAAGCAAAAAAAAAAGATAATCTTCAGCATCACAAAAGAATTATTTGTTTGAAGAGGTGATGCCGTACCACGAGCTTTCTTCTAGGCCCATGCAATGCGCAAGCCAAAACGATGAAAAGAAGGGTTGAACTGACTCTCGAGACCGTTGACGCGGTCACGAAGGCGTTCAGGAGGAAATAGGGCAAAGAAGGTAAATTTTGATCCTTCTATTTTTTAATCTCAGTCCCTATCAGATTAATTACAAACTACTACGATCTGCGCCAATGCCGGCTAAATAGCAGAAAACTGCCACAATTTCAAGATAAATATTAAAGAAAAACCCGATTAAAGAGCAAGCAGCTGTGCGTCAGGTAATGTGCCAAAATTTCAAATTAAGAAAAAAACTAAGGCTGCCCGAAATCCGGAGGAAGCTGCAAGATGTTGGCCAATGCGATCATCGTGGTGGAGAAGCGAATCAGCGAAGCGGCACTCCATATACTCCGGCAAAAACCCCATTTTCGGGATGCGCATGGAGAACGCTAGCTGCGATCGGAGCTTGCTCGAAATGATGACAGCCGCCGTTCCACGCGAGACCGAGACCGTTCCACTCACGCACGACGCCGTATATAATCCGACACACCGAAGGAAACCATGTAGATCATTAATTGTGTTTTGAGCGCAAAGAAAGGGTTTTATAAGGCAACTAGGAAATAGAGAGACCACACGAGAACTCGGCCCCCGACAAATTTTTGGTGCGTCGGCCGACCGTGTTTTTTTTCATTTCCTACTACCTTATTTCCCTTTTCCGGGCTGACGAGCCCTTTTTCGTCAAAAAGAGAGCCTGAGCCTCTCGAAGCAATCAATTTCGTCCATCAATCCGCGAAAGCGGAGGGAAAAGCAATTGCAAAGCCCCCTAATCAGCACAAGCACATTGTGCAGGGAAGAGAAAAAATCGCCGAAATGGCAAATAATGAGGCTGAACTACTCTCGCAACTTCCCGCGAGGGAATTGCGAAAAGTCCTCGAACCTTCCGGATCGAGGGAAATCGAGGGAAATCGCCTTCCACGGACGGATGGATGGAACCGGCTCTCCGCTCCTATCCCCTCAGATGGAGCGCCTCGGATGGGGATACGGCCAAAGCGGAAGAGGGCCAGGATGGCCCTCGTGATGCGGATTATGTCCTGGCAGGAGCGATACGACCTTGGAACGCCACTATATACGCCGTGAGCCCGACTACACGGCATCTCATCTACACCAACTGCAACAGCTAACAAGCCACCAGATCTACCGTACATTTGTTGTGTTATAAAGTTATATTTCTAGTAAAGGACACCGAGCACCCTAGCGTAGCCCCTAGGGCATAATCGTAGGCCTAGGCTACCGCTGCCTAAGTCTTTACATGGTGCGTCGGCACTAAAACCAGCCGAGTCAGAAATTCCCGCGTGGCACTTGAACCTTAGGCGAGCGCATTATTTTCTTTTTATCCTACTTTTTATTTCGTGTTTTCTGATTTCCGCCATTTTCTTTCCATTCGTGCACCTGAGCGGTTTAAAGGCACCGTCAATCAGGGAGCAAATTCCCGAGGGGTACCCAGTTGTCGAAGGCTACAATAAATCAAGCGTTCGGGAGGAAGAAAATATCTGCAATGGGAATCCTAAGCATCTCCGTTCAAAGTCAAAGCTTCGTGCTTCGTCAAAAAATTCACAATCTGCTATTGGCAACCTTCCATACATGTTCGGTCAGTCCATTCTAGTAGTTGCAGCTATCTATGCGGTCATAAAGGTCGTTCCACGAGTAGCACGATGGAGCTGCTAGGACGACTGGGAGCCGCAAAAAAGGAAAGGTCAATAGGACCGCGCTTACACAAAAGAGCTAGAACACGCAACACAACCAGAAATTTTATGCTGCAGGCCTAGAGGGCAGAATTGTAAGGCAAAAAATGGTTCAGAGTTGAGGATATAAAAGCAGCCAGCACCCCGGAGTAGCACCTTGAACACAAATTCGTCAACAAGATGAGCGACTACTGCGGCAAACACAACGCGTTCTACGAAGCGTTAGATGTTATGAGGATGGAAAAAGACATCGACGACATCCTCGATCTTGTCGACAACCTGGAGTCGCTGACGGCCAACGCAGAGACCAGGCAAGCTGAAGACAAGGAGGATCGCGAATGCTGGAAGGACGTCGCCGACCTGGTGGACGCGGCTCTACCTACTACGGTCGCACGTCTTCACAGACACGCTCTAGAAGCCCCGTGCGAGACCACTCGGAAGATCGTGGTCACTGCGATCATCGCCGTGGAAAAACGCATCAGCGAAGCGGCCGAAGGATGGCGAGCAGCCGCTCGAGTTGGTGCGGAAATGGAATGGCGAGGGGTCCACCAGTGGATGGACTCCGGCAAAAAAAACCGATCTTCGGGATGCGGATGGAGAAGGCAACTAGGCTGCGATCGGAGCTGCGGCAAGCATGGAGGCAGGGGTCACCCGGTTTCGCAGGGATCGCCGTATTCCTCGACCAGGTGGCCCCCACGATGCCCTTCCAGGACGAGTGGAAAAAACTACAAGCCATCGCGGCAAAAATTAAGATTCTCGATGAAATCTCCCCCACGGCCGTCCAGGACCAATCTCAAAATGCACTGGCCCTTCGCAACGAGATAGCACACCAAATCGACATCTTCGCGACACATAAGTTTAACACGTGTCCGTTCCGCTCCGACCGACGACCACACTGCCGTCGTACCACGTGTAGCGGCCGTCTACATCACCGTAATCTGCCGCACGGCCCTCGTAAGCCTGAACCTCAAAACGCCCCTGAAAATGAACGCAATACGCATAAAAACGCATCAACAAGGTCAAAATAAAAAACACACGGAAAATTGTCCGTAGCCTGCAACAGCGTTTGAGATATCCAGGTCACCAAATTCACAGGCATGCATTCCAGTGGAGGAAACTGAAAAAACTAATAATAGAACAATCATTAATTTTAATCACATCTAAATGTCTAAAAAAGAAAGCTATTTTACAAAACATAAAATAAGCAAAAACATACCATCATCATATGAGAGAAATCAGATGTGTTCCTTACTTAAGGATATTACTTTTATAGCGCAATAAATGTACCGTAGATTTGGTGGCTTGTTATCGCAGTTGATGTAGTTGGGATGATTGTTGTTGAGCGCCCGTCCTTAAGTAGTGTGTGCCTTGCGTTCTCGACAAAATGTCGAATCGCCTGTGCTAGTAGGAAAGGGCTTCTCGCGACTATTCCCATAGCGCGATTTCACAACTACCGTTCGTGAATGGAATTTCGTGAAATGTATCCCTCTCTGTTTCCCGAGCTTTTTATGAAAGGGATCGGTCCTCAAATTCCGACCGTTTCCCGGCATATCCCCAATTAGCCTGGCCCTTTTCCCGTTCCACATGTTACGGCCGGGCCGCATAAATAGGGAAGGCCCGAACCCCCAATTGTACAACATAATATCTTGTGCCGTGTTCCTGTGATCTGTGTGGATCATAAAGCTGCTAACTGGAAGCGTTCTAAGCATTCTATACCGTATACATTCTATATCTACCAACGGACCTATCCCGCCACTGAGGGAAAGTCTGTTTATGGTGCGTCGGCCGGGAATGTCATGCACATTCATTCATTCATGCACATGTCCGTCGACTTCTTAAGTTCCTCGAGCGAGATAGAGCGAGTCGACCTCGATCAGGATATATTTCTTAGGCCTGGCTCGGATCAACAATCATGGGCTATCGCGCGTATCATTGTGGATCCTGGATGAAGACACTCATTCAAAGCTCGCTACCCCTTCCAGTGGCTTGACGCATTGAGTACGACTCTGTTTTTTGCTAGCGCTCTTCGTAAAAAACGACCAACAAATGCATTATAGTCGGCCGACGGGACTGCTTTTAGTCTCTTCTCTCTGTTTCCTCTTGCTGCTTTTCCAAGGTTTCGAGTACTGCTTTCCAAATCGTACGATTTTTAACTGCAGAATTATGGCTGGAAGAAGAGCCGAGAACCTGACAGGAAGCGTACGGTACCCGTGCGTGCGTAGTATCCGTAGCGGACGGTAACTCTCCAAATTCCCCCTCGACACCTCGCTGCGTCTTGAGTTCAGATTAGCCTGGGCTTGGAATGTACAACGAGGGACATGGCTCGGACGCACGAGGCTAGCACAAAATCTTGTACAGCGGGCTGGCCGAAGCCGAAGAAATGTGAAAAATATCTTTTTTTCCCGGATTGTTGGGGATTATTGTGAATAAATTTTTTTAGGCATTCCAGTCCAATCGCGTTCAGCAGAACCCAACAAAACAGAACCAGAAAGCAACCAAGCGCCAAGCCAAGGGAGCCCTAGTCGCCGGAGAGCTAAAAAACAGATAGAGAACGGCATCCGGAGGGACAGCAAAAATAGGCCAGCGAGCAAGGCGCGCCAAGGGGACACAAAAAGAGAGATAGGCAGGCCAGGCAAGCAATGCCGGCAGCCTAAAAATGAGGAAAAAGAAGCCCCAGGGCAGTTCAGAAATCGTAGAAGAAGAAGACAAATGCCAAGGTTGAGCAGAATATAAACCAGGCGAGTGCCATGGGAAACAAGCATCCAATCGTGTTCTACCATGGCGTCCGTCGACTTGGATCTGGAGACTGCTGAAGCCGTGAAGAAAGGGTTCAAGAGTGTCGGGCCGTGTTTCCCAGTGTCTCTTTGGACCGAATTTCCTACTCTGTCCGGGCCTCCCAATGGCCTCCCTGAACCCGGAACGCCTCCCTCCATCCTTGCCATCCTGGCCTCCTTCCTCGTGACGCCAGCCAGATAGAGCCCCGCCGACGAGAGATGCCACGCCCCGCCGACCACGTATAAAACCCTGGCCGAACACACGAACGCCAGTTGTCCCAATAACCTTTTGAGCACTGTGTATACCGCGCTGTTGGAGAAATAAAGTGTATATAAAAGCGTAAGAGACACGGTACGAAACCGGGCCACAACAAAGAGCAAATGGGAAGAAAAGAGGGTAACAACAGTTGCCGCAAAGCTTTAAGAAACTCTTCCGCTTTCAGATTGAGAAGCAAGCAACCGCGAACTGCACTGCATGCGAAAAAACTGGACACGTTGCAGCCAACTGCGGAGACTACGAGATCGACATCAAGGAGAAGTTGGCCCGTCTAAAGAACAAGCAGCAGTGTGCCAGGTAGCAGCAGATATACAGGAACTAAAGCAAGATTTCTTTTAGGATGCGGAGGCGGATGCCCCAGACGCGGAAAAAGGTGCTTCGCGGTTACCGAGCGGGCGTTTCTGGCAACTATCGAGCGAAAAGGAGCTGTCCTTCCGGTCAGCTCCGGGGAATGTAAGTAAGAGAGAGGGAGAAAGAACTAGTAAAGAACTACAAACAGAAAGGTCTGCGAAGGTCCTTTCCCGAAACGGAGGTCCTCAAGACCGACCGGTTTCGACACAATCCTCTCTGGCCGTCTCTCTACAAATCATACTACAAATGGCATCAACATTGCTCATGCTTGCCCAACGTCGTGCCAACCGGCTCTATATAAGTCCACCGCTGAACGGGGGACTTCACTTCAACCAACAGCCAGCGCTTCCAACAGCGAGGCACTTGGACCTTACCTTTATCTTGAATTATATTATTATATTATACTTTGTCACTTATTTACGCCAATAAACACTTAACGTTATTTGACCACTGAAATAACCGTTAAAGCGTTCATGGAGGCGAGTTGTACAGAAGTTGGAATATTTCATCTACCCACACTGTGCCGGAAGTGGACCACCACCCAACGCCTAGGAGGAATCTACCTTGACAAACCCGCCAAGAAGCTCAAAAAACCAGAATGAACTTACTGGGTGTATATTAAATGCGTTGTGAATCAAAAAAAAATTTTGTTTAAACAAACCAACAAGTATCGAAGAAATGCAAGTTAACCATGATGAGGGAATGAAGAAAAATGATTAAGCAAATGTCGAACAAATCCGAATCTATCGCTTGCATCTATTTTTTTTGTAGAAAATAAATTGCGTAAACTGTCGTCGCCACGGTCTGGCCTCGATAGTTCTGAGAGCGTCACGAGCAAGCGCCTCCCCCCTTGTTTGATGCAGCACGAAAGGCGGAACGGGGAGTTTAAGTTTATTGGTTATTGGAGTTCAAGTTTATGTGGCGCGTCAGACTTGGCTGGTCGAAGCCGTCGACTATTAACAACTCAACGATACCGATGCGCAGCTCTGAGTTCCATCAAGCGGATACGCAAGCAGACTTTGCGTATTATCGTTCCAAATGGTAAATAAAGCTATTTGGAATCTGAATTGTCGGGGCGCCGATCCCCGTGCGTATCACCCGGACCCCCCATCTCTACGACTTTGCTCCGAAACTGATGACAGACGCGCGCCGCTCACCGTTCCACCCGAGACCGCGACCGAGACCGTTCCACTGACGCCGACGCCTGCACAATGTGCTTGTGCTGATTAGGGGGTTTTGCAATTGCTTTCCCCTCCGCTTTTGCGGATTGATTGACGAAGTTGATTGCTTCGAGAGGCCCAGGCTCTCTTTTTGACGAAAAAGGGCTCGTCGGCCCGGAAAAGGGAAATAAGGTAATAGGAAATGAAAAAAAACACGGTCGGCCGACGCACCAAAAAATTTGTCGGGTGCCGAGTTCTCATGCAGTTTTCTCTATTTCCTAATCGCCTTATAAACCCTTTATTACGCTCTAACACAAATGGTGATCTACACGGTTTCCTTCTGTGTGACGGATTATAGTGTCGCCTTGGATCTCCCAGCTCAAAACGGAAGAAATATCGAAGACCGTAGAGATAAGAAAAAAAAACATTTCATCGAGAAGTAAATTGGGTAGGATATTGTGAACAGCTAAAAAAGACTAAAAACCTACACATTACCGAACTAATTGATGATGATAGAAACAATGCCTTCATTCTGCGCGTAAGACAGCAAACCCCCAAGGTCTCAGGGCAAAATGATGCTACTAATATAACCCTCTCATTTAAAACACTAACCCCATGCCACTATTTAACAGCAAAGCAACACCCCGAACACCGATGACTATGTCCTGGTCACGAAAACCTGCAACAGCTCCGACTGTGCATTAATTAAAGAATCTCACATTTTAGAATGGTCGAAATTTAAAACTGTTCTATACGACCCCCATTGCCGCTTAGAAATAGGTCTTCTTACGCTCCTAGCTAGCCTAATATTTATTTGCTTTTTATGATTTTTCTTTTCCAAGCCACCCACGACTTTTACAAACTTCATGGTCTAAATGGCCGCCTCAGTCGCTGATCATCATGGCGTTGGGGATTAAAGACATCCGGGAACTTAAAAGAAAACGATAAAGAAGCCTTTCAAGGCATACACAAAACAAACGACTATGCACTCTTTGTTTCTTGTAAAAAATCAAAAAGCACCCTGCCCCTTTAAAACGGATAGGCACAGAATTTTGCAATTTCATGAGCCTATCAAAAAAATAGCCTGTAACTCCTAAAATTACACATGATAATCTACCTCCACAATATTCACTACAAAACCTACCGATTCAACCGAAACTATGTATTTTAAGTGAAAGAAAAGTAAAGGCATCTGATTGCCGGGAGTTACCCGAGAAAAACCTTCAGAGGATGTTGCGCACAGCTAAAAACGACCAAAAA